CCCGCCCCCCCCCCCCCCAGCTCCCTCCCCGGGGCCCTGTGGGGCAGAAGCCCCGGGGGAGGCGGCAGCGGTGCGGGGACTCAGCCATACAGCAGGGTAAGTGCCACCTGCCTGTCCCTGTCCCACACACCTGCCCTCCCCTGGCACGGCCCCTGGGACACGGGGGGGGATGCTGTCACCCCGGTGACACCCCAGGGCTGGTGAAGCTCCCTGCTCACCCCAGCGATGGTGTCACCCACTGCCCACCCCAGCCCCATTGCCACCCCAACTCTCGTGGCACACTGGTCCCCAGTGCCATCCCATTGCCACCCCAACCCTCCAGGCATTCTGGCTCCCCAGTACCACCCCAGCCCCAGTGCCAGCCCTAGGCCACTCCAGTCCTGGTGCCACCCGTTGTCACCCCTGGCCCTGGTGCCACCCCAGTGCCCCTTTAGCCCCAGTGCCACCCCAATTCCAAGGCCACCCCATTGCCACCCTGGCCCTGGTGTCACTTCCCACCGCTGCCTCTGGTGTCACCCCGCTGTCACCCCAGTGTCACCCCAGCCTCAGCACCCCCCTCTCCCCACCCTGTCCCTGATGCCACCCCAGTGTCACCTCAGTGCCCCCCTTGCCCACCCTGTCCCTGATGCCACCTCAGTGTCACCTCAGTGTCACCCCTTGCCCACCCTGTCCCTGATGCCACCCCAGTGTCACCCCTTGCCCACCCTGTCCCTGATGCCACCTCAAGGCCAGTGCTTGGGGTAGGCTCGGCCCCCTCCTGCCCCCCCTCACCCTCTGCTCCCTCCCCGGGTCGGTGTGGGGCAGAGGCCCCGGGGGAGGCGGTCTCTGTGCCACCCCAGTGTCACCTCAGTGCCCTACTTGCCTATCCTGTCCCTGATGCCACCTCAGTGCCCCCCTTGCCCACCCTGTCCCTGATGCCACCTCAGTGTCACCTCAGTGCCACCCCTTGCCCACCCTGTCCCTGATGCCAGCCCAGTGTCACCTCAGTGCCACCCCTTGCCTACCCTGTCCCTGATGCCACCTCAGGGCCAGTGCTTGGGGTGGGCTCGGCCCCCTCCTGCCCTCCCTCACCCTCTGCTCCCTCCCCGGGTCCGTGTGGGGCAGAGGCCCCGGGGGAGGCGGTGGCAGTGCGGGGACTCAGCGCCCGGCTGCTGGGGCTGGTGGGGGACCCGGCGCGGGACCCCGACCCCAGCGTCTACCTGGCCCTTCGCCTGGCTGGTGACCATGACCTGCGCGGGGAGGAGCGGTACCTGGCGCGGCTGCAGGACACCTTCCAGCGCCACTATGGCCGGTAGGTCCCCTGTGGGGACAGCAGGTCCCCCCCGTTTGCCTCTGGGGTGGTCCCTTGTCCCCCCAGGCCACCCCGGCCACCGCTGACACTGAGTCCCTGCAGGAGCCTGCAGGGAGCCGACCAGCTCCACGGCCACCCCCAGTGGGACGCTGCGGCCACCGAGCACAACCCGTACGTGTGTGTGTCCCACGGGGACGGTGCCCTCCACCGGTGGGGTGACAGCTCCCCGGCACGGTGTGGGGGCTCCTGCTGCTGGCGAGAGTTGACGCGGTGGCTTTCAGGAGCGTCGAGGCGGAGTGGCCGGAGACGGGGCGGCTGGCGCTGTACCTGCTGGGGCTACGGGCCACCTGTCCCCCACCTGACCCCGGTCCCCAGCGCTCGTTGGTGACATGGCTGAAGTACTACCTGGAGGAGGACTGGGCAGGTGAGAGCATCCCCGCGGGGCCACCACGGCGAGCACCCACCTGTGTGTCGGCATGTCCAGCCGCTGGGCCACCCCAGTGACACGACACAACCAGCACCATGGAGCATGGGTTTTACTCTTGGGGACATGGGGGTTGTGTTCCTGACGTGGGTCAGGAGCTTCTGCCTGTCCCTCCCACCACGTCCCCTCCCGTCCATCGCTCCTCTGTCACACTTGCCCGGCTGCTCACGTTGCTCTTGGGCTGCGAAGGGGATGAGGAGCTTTGAGAGCCCCTTCCCAGCATGGACCAGTGCATCTGTGCATTGCAGCTCTGCCATCCTGCTCCCATCAAAGAGGGGATGCGCTGCTGGCCACCTGTGTCACCTCCAGCCTCATGGCACTAGCTTCTGCCTGTCCCTCCCACCACGTCCCCTCCCGTCCATCGCTCCTCTGTCACACTTGCCCGGCTGCTCACGTTGCTCTTGGGCTGCGAAGGGGATGAGGAGCTTTGAGAGCCCCTTCCCAGCATGGACCAGTGCATCTGTGCATTGCAGCTCTGCCATCCTGCTCCCATCAAAGAGGGGATGCGCTGCTGGCCACCTGTGTCACCTCCAGCCTCATGGCACTGCCCCTGCCATGGTGGCAGGAGGCACCAGACAGAGATGGCTTCCCTCTGTCACACTGGTTTTGTCCCCAGCTGAGTTGAACTAGTGCTGGCTAGTTTAGATGTGGTGTTGGGGGATATGGTGTAGGGGAGAACTTTAGAGTAGGGTAGATGGTTGGACTCGA